ATGGCAAACCCATGGCCATAGAAGTCATGGCAGGCCCAATCTCAGATGATTAGATGGCCTAAAGCAGGACCTTGTATAAAATAGAGTCAAAAACTGAAAGAAGAAAGTTATGAATAGAAGAGTCTAAAGAGACATACTGAACCAGGCTAAGACGATATGGCAATGGATACACTACTGGAGATATAAGAAGAAGGGTTGACTTTAGACAGGCGGCCGGTCGTAAAGCTCATACCAAGTCTATATGCACCATGCAATTCTACATGATGTGGGATAAAGACAAGAAGAAACAGATATGATATTTTGACTTGTGTGTTGTGGATTTTTTTTCTACGTAATTTTTCCGTGAAGCTCATGGCTTGAACACAACTTTAAGGATCAAATGAAAATATAATAATGTCGTTACTTTAATCTAATATCCTGAAGGCCTTTTTAGTTCCTCCTCCTTCTCATATTACTCCTCTTAATAAATATACCTCAGATAGGTGACTGAACTCACTGTCCACCCAATGAATAATAAAATAAAGAAGTTTCGGAGCCTGTACAACCTGAATTCCGAAACTCACTATAAGAAACGAGACCTTGGGATACCAAAATAGGTAGAATGGTGGTACCTTATACGTGTGTCTCTCCATACCATCAGTACTTAAGATATGAACTAGGGAGTTAGTCTTGGCATCAGCGATAATTTAGAGTAGATTTCCTCTTACATGGATAGCATCACGTTACAGTATGGTATTAGAGAAGCTAATAAATATAAATTTCGTAACGTCTACCAAACTAATCGTCGCAATCCCGAGACTTCGAGTTCAAACTTAATTAAAGGAATTTGCGAGCACCGCCCGATCTCCGTATAAGCATAACGCGTTTTTGAGAAACGGTCGTATTGTAAGCGGTAACATGAGTTTGTAAATATATTTTTTTGTATGTTAGAAGCGATCGAAAAGATATAGGTTTGTTTATGCTGCCCATCAGATTGTGATGGTACTTTATACAAGATGCATGAGCGCATAGTTCACGAACGAGTACATGGTGACTTCTCCGATCTGGTAGTAGATACATTCGCGAAGCTGTTAGCAAGTCCCACCCCTCCTGGCTGAGTCTCTGCTCGCCCACCTGTCCTGGTGAAACTAGAAAGGTCTCCGGGCTACCAGTAATCCTTCAATCATAGAAAAGGTGACTTCTCTCATTAATGGATATCAAGCCAAGCAGCTGCCTACAGTTATCGATAGTTAAGATTATTCGTCAATTGCTACTGGCATAAAAACTACAATCGACCATTTTATTCATTCAAACTGAATACTATTATTATTATTTTATTATTATTTATTATTATTATTTGGTATTAGACTTCGTAATACTAGTGTAATTAAGTACCAGTGTGAGATTAGTAGGTATGTTATTATGAAAACTAAATAAGTTCTCAATTACTAAAGTACAATTTTTTTTGTTTTTTAATTTAATAGAAATACAACAAAGGAGACTGAAACGATTACATACATTTTTGGGCCCGAATGTAACGTGATGAAACTAATATGAATTAATAGATTCAGATTTATCAGTACCTTGCTGAAAATTATAAAAGTTTTCTCAATCTGAGAGCCGAGTTAATAAAGATTTAGTAAAAGTTAGGTTATGTTACAATCTCTTTAAAAGAGCTGAATAATAACTTATTTAANCCGAATGTAACGTGATGAAACTAATATGAATTAATAGATTCAGATTTATCAGTACCTTGCTGAAAATTATAAAAGTTTTCTCAATCTGAGAGCCGAGTTAATAAAGATTTAGTAAAAGTTAGGTTATGTTACAATCTCTTTAAAAGAGCTGAATAATAACTTATTTAAGCATAAGTAAATGTTTATTATATCCATTGGATACTCTTTTATATGTCATATTATGAATGAATATCAATGATATATGGAATATGGAATTGCTATCCCACAATTCACACAGCGATCCATAATTTCAACAGTATCCAATGCAACAATTTCAAGTCAAACGTGTGAGCGATCTTCAGTGTCCAGTGCAGAAGCAATTGTCGTACAAGGCTGGCAGAGTTGGAATCCGTAATAATAAAGCAGTGATCGTTGAAAATATAAAAACAGCCTGATAGATACACACTCAAAATGCGTCGAAGATACAAAACGAGTAGAGCAGAAAAAACCAACAAGCGCCAAAAAATAATTATATAATCTATGAACAAACGTCATGTCAGCTTACTGTCAAAGCTGTCATCAAAAATACAATCGATTTTAATCGATTTGAAATCGATAATCATATTACTTTGTTAGGTAATAATAGACTTTTTCTTCATTTATGTATATAATCGCAATTAAATCCGGCGCATACCGCACTTGTATACAACAAGTATAAATCGCTCATTACTTTGCATTAATTACCTAGCGCAATGTTTTTCTTTTTATAATCCTGTAATCGATTAATTAAATCGATCACACCGTTATACCGTCAAAAACTAACTTTCTCATTTTTCTCCGGTCCCAGAAAGAGGATTGAGGTGATTCTTTATATTCTTATATAAAAAAATATGACAAATTTTTTAGACTACATTCCAAGTTATTACATTTTTGGCCCACGATTTTCCGTCTCCTTTAAATATATAATAGATTTTGACACTTTTTTTCCCTACCTGTGCTGAGAGCCTTGAGAGGCTAGATCAGCGTTACCCTTTTTTTTTTTTTTTTTTTTTTTTTTTCGGGTAGAGGGCCGAACCTCCTACGAGGTCCCCGCGCAAAAGGGGCGCGCGGGGTATGTGAGACTCAACGATCTGCATGGTGTTGTGAGCAGACCGCGGGCCCAAGGATTTTAGAGCCCAGAGATCAGCGTTACCCTAGCGTGTAGGTGAGCTCTCGGAGCTCAAACCGTAGATGATGCTAACACTGGCCCTAACAAGAGCAGTTCTACGCAGAATCTACCACCGGATCGGAAACGCAACCCACTGAGAAGATCCGGCGAGAAACTCAGTGGGCTATTTTGACACATGCTGCTACTTAGTAGTGACCCGAGTGGAATTTCCCGCACGCTTCTTTCTGCTACCCACTGAGTCTTACAGTGCATCGTTACACCTAGGGTAAGGTTAGAAACCGAGGCATTTTTCCACTTTGATCGTGATTTAATAGTAAAACGTTGAAGGATACAAATAGCGTTATTTATCATTTGAACGTAACATTTTCAAGGACGTACATATACTTACGTAGTATATTCCCGCCGTTCTTGTATGAGACCACGTCTCAGAGCTAGCGTCCGAATCGGGCGTTCGGAATGATCGTTTACGTAACACGCACTAATTGCGCGCTTTCACCGGCGGATCTCTTCTTGCGACAGGTTCCAGGCACATTATTTTTTACCCGACGACTTCGAAGCTGATGCAACCCGAGAATTCGTCCGTGAGAACCGCGAGCAATGAATCATGACGTGTCGTTTAATTAGAATTCCGTTTACGCCATTCATTTAGAAGTGAGATGATTTATGAGCTCTCTTCTCGTGTTACAGTCGGCGCGGTTCCTACTTGAGAAGATGTTTGGTGATGATTAATTATATTACAGCGGCAGCCAATACAAAATTGTTAATATTTGTATAGGATTAGTAATAATGGAACGTATGAGAAGAGTGTGGAATGGAGCGTTAAGATGTGAGTGAGAGAAAAGAGTAAGGGAAAAAATAATGACAGAGAAAATCAAGATGGCGAAGACGATTCAATGAGCAAGGAGTAAAAAAAAACACGTGTGGCACACGGGGACTGCCGCGGTAAAGCTATTGCGTAGCATCTTTTATGAACTTATTATAATTAGACTATAATAATTTCATAATAGAATAATAATAAAATAAGACCTCGCTCTATTTACAAATACATATTAACAAAAGCAAAACATTAACTGTCCCCTTCACACTCATAAGCTAGACCGCGCGAGAGAGGGCAGACTTTTCATGATGCGCATGCAGTGCGACGTCACGCCACGCGCTTATTCACAAACACTACACAAGCGCAACGTGTGAATGTGTTGAACGCGAGCTAAAGGCGGAGTGGGGGGGTGTTAGGTTTTATTTTCGTTACGGAATTTCATGATTCGGTCGCCGCGCTCAAAGCCCGCGATAAAAACTATGGAATAGCTTAAAAGTGTCAGCTATTTTTTAATTGTAATTACAGAGAAGATTTTGGAAGAGAACAATAATAGTACAACAGTGAAATGCAAGTCAAACAGTATTGGCACTATATACCGTTGTTACTGTCATTTGAAAGAAAGTTTGAACATAGTGTCATAGACTTATAACAGACTAGAGGTCCCGCAGTAGTCGAAATTCGACTATAATTAATTGGAATTGTAAGTTTGTCTACTATTATGATTGTATTTTATACTTCTATAATCACAAATTTCGCCAAGACTACACTATAAAAAATATTAATAAAGACAAACAATATTTAATCTATTCTCAATTTGACCACAGACGTCAAGAACAAAAGTTTGACAATAAATAGTATGCATGGGTGTGTGCGTCAAATACATGGTATGTAGTGTGTGTAATATTTTCTTTATTGATTTAATGCATTATTTTAAAAAATATTAGCATTGTGCACTTCTTCTCTATATTCTCTATAAGTGTGGAAAAATTCATACTCCTCCGTTCGCGCAATTTTCGTAAAAAGGGATACAAAGTTTTTGCTTCACGTATTAATATATAAATGTACGTTACTTACGTTTCATCTAATAAGTGTTTCACATTTAGTGTTAGTAAAAGCAAAACGGATGGTCAGGTTACATTAGTCCAACGAGTTTTCAGTAATAATTATCTTTTAAGGTACACTGTATACATGAAGGGTTTATTAACTCATAAGGTCATTTCTTTCCATCAGACCAGAATATATAGTATGTGGATAACAAAACAAAATTAAAATAAAGAACCAAGATTGGTGATAGAAGTCCGTAGAGGCGAGTAAGTTGGTTTTTGCGATTTATTCTAATATACGTTTATTTGTATTTCAGATCAAAGAACATATATATACAATGTTTGGACGACGTTGGACGAGTGTTCTCGGTAAGTTTATAGATTGAAATACTACCATCGTTGACTAAGGATGCACTGCAGCAGCTCGGTCTGAGAATTAACTTAAAATAACAATCAATGAACTTCGAATTCCAAGATTTTGTTGAATCAATCGCAATCATTGAACCTTTCCCTAAATACGATTAATAAAGACAAAATATAACATACGAATCCATTAATTTCGCCACAAAAAAAAAATTAAATGCATATAATATCTGGTCTATTAGAAATACTATTTTCAAATAGGTGACGGAATTTTTAACAATAAAACTATTATTACACTAAAGTCCAAGATTTTACACGCCATAGCGTATAACTGATGACGGTGTCAGGGAGGGAAACTTAGACTCTCACCGAAGGCTTGGTCCGTATGCTTAAATACGTATTGTGAAACTGGCTATACTGTGTCTTTGATGCACAAAAACAGAAATTACTAGCTCTCAACGCCCGCGGCCCGCAACGTATGTCGCAGAATCAGTAGTCGGTATAAGAAATGTGTTCTGGAAGTCACACAACGAACTAAAAAGCGCAGTGGTGTTGAGCCCGTTGGTCTGATAAACTGAAGCAACTAGCATGTAGATCAGATGCTGAAGATAAAGGGCATTAAAGGTTATTACGAAAGAGAAGTACATCTAAAAGGGAAAAACATAGATCGATGATGATAATTCTTTCATTTAATGCAATTAAATTTGGTTCCGACACTAATCGATAATCTTGGAAAAAGGTTAAACAATAAAAAAATGGGAAACATTTATTAGCTATTGAAGCTTCAAGTGACAGAACACATCCATATCTGCGATTTTCCACCACATACCAAACCATAAGATTGTCAATCAAATAACTCGAATTTCACTTTCAGATAAATTCATTAATTACGTAGTTTAATAGAAACTTCAGTAGTTACGAATTCATTGTAATGATTTATTTGTATCGTATCAATATTTTTTGAATACCTAGTAAAATAAAGGCTAAATCGATTTTCATAAAATTTCATAATATATCGATTTAACAACATCAACATCTCATAGTACGGCCGAAGAGCCGCTTTCGCATTTATAACATCGTTGCGAACGATCACGTCTGCATTCTCGCTCACGACTCGGTCGTGCGCGGACGTGCTTTCCGATCCGTGGCCCGCTTGCGAGCCGCGTCTCTGAACTCACAGTTGTGCTCGACAGTGTAGTGACCGTGAATACATCGTGCGTACAATTCGGTAGTGCGGACGTGCCGATCCGTTGGTCGCTTGCGATCTGCGTATCGAGGTCCATTTTTGTGCGCTAAAGTTTTGTAANAAAAAAAAAAAAAAAAAAAATCACGTCTGTTAAAAGACATAAACACTTACAAACCGATATATAAATATATTCAAAATAGTATTACATAAAAACAATTTAATATTAAACTGAAGTGATAGTGCAGTTTTCATCTACCTATATATATTAATACATGAAGCAAAAACTTTGTATCCCTTTTTACGAAAATTGCGCGAACGGAGGAGTATGAAATTTTCCACGCTTACAGAGAATATAGAGAAGAAGTGCACAATGCTAATATTTTTTTTTAAATAATACATAAAAGATACATTAAATCAATAAAGAAAACATTACACACACTACCGTGTATTTGACACACACACGCATGCATACTATTTATTTATTGTCAAACTTTTATTCTTAACGCTTGTGGTCAAATTGAGATTAAATTAAATATTGTTTGTCTTCTGTATTATAGTCGAATTTCGACTACTGCGGGATCACTAGTTAAAATTAAAATAAGACTTGACCAATTACACACTAAGACTTGGACACTTAGTCTTAGTTACCAGGTCATAAAATGCCTTAACAAAAAAAAAAAGATTACGTCTGTCAAATCCTAGCAGACAAATAATTAATTTTCATTTCGCCGCACACATCGCGACAGTGTCAACGCACTTCGAGCAAGTTTCGCAACTTTCTAACGACAAACCGACAGCTTCATGATTCAGTAACTCTGTGTAGAATAAATACACAAGACTGCGAAAAAGTTAGATGAGTTTTAAATCAAATACGTACTGGAGGTCATCGCGCCAGTATCGCGTGTAAACCTTGACGTAACTATACCTAGCTAACTCAGACTTTTGTTTCTTTGGAAAGAAAAAGTCACAATTCTCATTAAAATCCTTAAAAATATCGACAGGTGTAAGGCTATTTGGTTTAAGCGACATTTTTGCTACTTTAGACCTAGAACCTTTAGAACTTTAGAACTAGAGACCTTAGAACTTATATCTCAAGGTGGGTGGCGCATTTACGTTGTGGATGTCTATGGGCTCCAGTAACCACTTAACACAAGGTGGGCTGTGAGCTCGTCCACCCATCTAAGCAATAAAAAAAATAAAAACCCCAGTAACTGTAACATTAGCCCGCTGAGTTTCTCGCCGAATCTCCACAGCGGTTTGCGATTCCGATCCAGTAGTAGATTGAGAGAAGTACACAACACATTGAGACATGGGGTCTCATGCAGAGGTCAGGTACTCTTCAACGATTGTGGCAACCTTGAAACAAACGCGCCTGACTGCTTTGCGGCAGATATAGACAGAACGGTGATACCTACCCGTGTTGCCTTACAAAAAGCTCTACTACAAAGCCTAGTATCAATTCGGAAACCGGTCAATAGCTACAAGACAATTTTTTTCTCAGTCTGATTGTATTTTCTTTCTCCTTCTGTAGAGGAAGATACTGAAACATTTTCTCTCTGTAAATCGCAAGTTATCGATATCGCAAGACATAGATACAACAATATTATCGTCACTGTCACCAAACACCACGCTAGACATAAATTTTATCGTTACTAAACGCATTAACAACTGTGCAATTCTCGATATTTGCTTCACGACAAAAACGGGCAGTTGGTATCGATCGATACCTATGTGGCTCCAACACACGGTGAATCAAAATGAAAAACGATCTAGAACTCGCTGTCATCGCAAACCAATTAAAAAAATCAAGTAAAACAGCAAGTCATTTACCTAACAGTATATATTATGAATTATTAAACGGGCCTATCTGAGTTAAGAACTCCGCATCGAACTTATTAAGTGAAGTGTGACAATGTACTTAGCGGTAAAGTTTTCCTATCAACCCTAAGTAAGCTTACGGAACTTAGCTCGTCCTCTCGTCATCGAAGTTATCAATCTAAGGGGAAATTAAGCGACATATTAGCTTTTAGGAACTTCTGTGTAACTTTTCGATTCAATTTCGTGACGTTATAACCGAACAATGGATTTACATCATTAAAATGCTCTTAATTCTTATTTTCTATATTTACTACGAAATAATTAAAAAACACATTTCTAAGTGAAGATGTCCCGCGATCTGTTAAGTCATAATTATTGAATTATCTCTGATATCATAGTGAGATAAGGACAAGAAGAAAAATATGATGATAAAATTCGCCTTATCGTCTGCCAGCCATTGTGATCGTTGAACGGTGCGACGAAGGGCTTGACGAGTAAATTAACCCATAGACACTGCCCACTGAGTTTCTCGCCGCATCTTCTCAGTGGGTCGCGTTTCCGATCCGGTGATAGATTCTGCGAAGCACTGCTCGTGCTAAGGCCAGTGTTAGCACCACTACCGGTTTGAGCCCCGTGAGCTTACCTACTAGCTCGGTGAATCTAGAATAACCCCTCCAGGCTACTAAAATAGGTAGGAAAAAGAAGGGAGCCCATAGACAATAATCAAAATGTGAATTTTCCTCATTTTCAGACATTCTTAATTGTATTCTATAGCAGCTTTTCCGCCCTCCAAATCAAAATGCATAGCTTTTTCTCGTCAAAAATGATGAGAAATTTAATACATATCCATTCGGGCTCACAATGCGTTCTACCGTCACTACTTTCGCGAATACAGAATATTTGCGAGTTACATATATATAAAAACGGCATTGCGTAATAAATCTTGCACGCGTGTTCAATTAGACCTTATAATGGAACTTAATTCAAAGGTGAATAAACAAGTCTATAATTACTAATTCGTTTTGTACGCGGCGTATTTTTGTTAGTCACATTCCGTAATTGTAAACGTAATTAAATTAATTTCAAACGTCCATCAGTGTCTATATGTACGTAAACTAATCAGCTTGATGCACGCGACCAGTAACGCTTTGTTGTTTTACCGTGCGTTCGCCATTTTAGTGAATTATAACTTTACACGCTTTCATTTACATGAGAGCTTTTGCAAAGCCAAAGAGTGAACGATACAGCCCAATTTATGCTTGTTTTTTTATTATGCTGGATAGGAGGACAACCTCGTGGCCTGCATGATGTCAAGTTGTTACTGGAAATACTTCCACCTACCTTGACATATGAATCTATCCGTGTAGTATTCCTTTTTTTTTCTTCATTTGCTGATAGCCTTGAGAGGCTATTTCAGCTTCACCCTAACGTGTGTAGGTGAGCTCAGGGGGCTCAAACCGGAGTGTTGCTAACACTGACCCTAGCAAGAGCAGTGCTTCGCAGAATCTACCACCGGATCGGAAACGCGACCCACTGAGAAGATCCGATGAGAAACTCGGTGGGCTGTGTTTATGGGTTAATTTACTCGTCGAGCCCTTCGCCACAAGCGAAGGGATCGGCGAGGACGGTGACCAGTGCTTGAGGTACCTAAAAGCACCGTTAATGGATCTGGAGGATCTGTGATGACGTGAAGAATATTGTAAATATGCCAGTATACTATTATCAATCCTAATGACGTATTTAAATGTAATTTTTGTAACAAACAACTATTTCAAAATAATTGAACTAACAATGAACAAGCACTTACGGAATTTTTTTTTTTAAATAACTTATTACATTCTGTCAACACCTTAATTGTATATAGCGAACAGAATCACACACAGTAACATGTGCATTTTAGTTACGATCATAAAATACTCAACCCACTTACAAAGTACACGAACAAACAGACAGCAGCAATAAATTAATTAACCATTCACTTGTGTGAGGTCATGGGAACCAC